GAACAATCTCAATGCCAAGAAAATATGACATTAGACCCAAATTTGTCATATCAAAACATTGAACCATGGCCTCCCTGAATTCTGCAATCATCTTTGGATTATTGCCAGTAAAGATTAGATCATCAACGTAAAGACATACAATAATAATATCATCTGGATTAACAACTTTAATATATAAAGTGTGCTCAAATTGACATCTCTGAAATCCATGTTATACAAAATAGGAATCAATCTTTTTGTACCATGCTCTGGGTGTCTGTTTCAAGCCATATAATGTTTTCTTCAATTTGTATGCTTTATTTTCTTTTCCTTTAACTTCATATCCTACAGGCTGCTCAACATATACTTCTTCTTCCAAAGTACCATTCAGAAAAACATATTTAACATCCATTTTATAAATTTTCCAATTATTTTGAGCTGATAAAGAGATAAACATACGAATTGTATCTAATTTTGCTACAGGAGAAAATACCTCAAAATAATCAATTTTTGGCTTTTGTTTGTACTCTTTTGCTACCAATCATGCTTTGAAATGATCAGTTTCTCCACTAGGCTTGTACTTAGTTTTATACACCCATTTCACTCCAATTGACCTTTTGTCTACTGGTTAGTTTGTCAGCTCCCATGTTTGATTCTTCTCAATGGCATGACTTTCTTCATCCATTGCTTTTCTCCAATATTGATTATTTGATGCTTCTTCAAATGATACAGGCTCACAATATGCAAATAAGGAAAAATTGATAATTTCTTCATCAAATGGGTCATTGTTATTACCTATAACATAATCCTCCAATCTGGTTGGTAGTCTCCATTGCCTCTGTGGTCTGCTTGATGTTTCTGGCTCATCAGGTGTTGGATCTACATGTCCATTCTCCTTTTCATAATTTTCTAGCATTATTGTAGGCTCATTTTGGAATTTGGATGACCAGTCCCACATTCCTTCTTCATCAAAGGTGACATCTCTGTCGATAATTACCTCCTTTGTCTCCGGATTGTAGAGTTTGTATGCTTTTGAATTTGTGCAATACCCAATAAATATATATTTTTCTCCTTTATCATCGAGCTTCTTTCTTAGCTGATCTGGACCCAAAAACTTTGAGATGTCAAATTGATGGTCTCCTTCCACTCCAGGCTTCTTCTGGTGTTTTCTCACAAATGCTCTTTGTTGGACATTTGTTCAAGATATACACAACAGTAGCAACAACTTCTGCCCAAAATTCTCTAGCCATTTATTTTGCCTTTAACATGCACCTTACCATATCTATAATAATCCTGTTCTTTCTTTCGGCAACTCCATTATGTTGGGGAGTGTATCTGGTTGTTAGTTGATGATGAATTCCATGTTGCTCAAAATAATCTGCACAGACAAGGTATTCTTGACCTTTGTCTGTTCTCAATGCTTTAATCTTGCAACCACTTTGTTTCTCCACAAATACCTTAAATGAATTAAAGGCATCACATGCATTTGATTTCTGCTTCAAAAAATACACTCATGTTTTTCTGCTGAAATCATCAATAAAGGTAATAAAATACTTACTACCGCCATGTGTTAGGATTTCAACTGTGCATAAATCTGAATGAACAATCTTCAGTGGCTTTCTCGCTCTCCATGACTTTCCTGTAGGAAATGATTCTCTGTGCTTCTTTGTTAATTGGCAAATCTCACACACACTATTGGGAATATTTATAACAGGCAAACCAGAAACATATTCTTTCTTTGACAGATAATTTAATCCACAAAAATGAAAGTGTCCAAAACGCATATGCCACAACCAATCATCATTTGGTATGATAGAACTCAAACAAGGATATTTTTCATGTTGAATTTTCAAAGGGAAAGACAATTCAAAGTTATTTTTACCTTGACTATAAATCTCTCACTCTTGTCAATCAACGTGTTTCCATGATGAATATGCATGTTGTATCCTTTTTCTGATAGTTGTCTCATGCTTAATAAATTATGATGAAGACTAGGAGCATAAAAACATCAGAAATTAAATTATGTGAACCATCTTTCAACCTAATCATGATTTGGCCTTTCCCAAAATTGGAATATTGTTGTTGTTGCCAAACTTAACAATTGAAGTAACTGTTTCATCTAACAAAGAAAATAATTCCTTTTTTCCACACATATAATTACTACACCTAGTATCTAAATACCAGATATTTTCATCTTCTGAGAAGTTATTGCTTGCCAAAAATAAACTTTGTGGGTTATTAGAATTCTCACCAATATCCTGGTTATGATTTTCTGCAATGTTTGCTTGCTGTCGAAATTTGCAAATTGTTATTCTGTGGCCAAATTTTTCACAGTAGAAGCAATTAAAATTACTTCTTTCTTGATAGTCACCTCTTCCTCTTCCTCGATTCGCAGGTACAAAATTATCTTCATCTCTTCCTTGATTGTTTGATCTGAATTTGTTGTTTCTCCACTGATTAAAACTACCACGACCTCTACCTCTGAAATTTTCACAACCCCTACTTCTGAAATTTCCTCGAAATTATCACGACCTCTATTTTCTGCACCTTGACTGGACTCCACAACTTTATTGAAATTCACTTGACTTCTCAATGCTTCTTCAACTCCTTTTTCTATTTTCTCCAATATTATGCTCACATGACTTTTAATGCTTCCTTGCAATTCTGCAATTGTCATGGTGTCTGTGTCATGGAACTCTATTATTGTAGTCACCACATGATCAAACTTCATCGGCATGGTGCGTAGAATTTTTTCAACCACCTTGCTTTTAGAAATATCTTCTCCATATACTCTCATCTTATTGACAAGATCTGTGATACGTGAAAAATATTATTGAACAGTTTCTGAACTGAACATTTTATACCTTTCATATTCTCTTCACAAGGATTGTAGTTTGGATTTTTGAGCTTTATCTACTCCTTTGTATGATAACTTCAATGTATCTCACGCATCTTTGGCAGTCTTGCAGTTTGCAATCTTACCAAAAATTGAATAATCTATTCCTTGTTGAATTTGTGACAGCGCCAACTACCCTTTCCTTTGATTTTCTACATTAGCTCCTTCTTGTAAGCTTGGTTCAATAAAACTCCAAATATTGTTAGCTTTCAAATGGGTGGACATCAACAATTCCCAGTAATTATATCCATTTTTTCATCTAATTTGGGACCATACCAAATAATATTGTAATTTATGGTCATCTCTCTTTCTCAAATAGACTCAAAAAATTTGTTAAGGTGAGAACATTTTTGTTCCTCACACACTCAATATTTTTTTTTTCACTGACTCTCTCACAAACTCATAAAACTAATGTTGGATCTAACCAGTTCTGATACCAATTTGATATCAGTGGGACAAATATTTTCTGAAGACACTCACACATAATAAAAGAATCAGAATAAGAGAATTTAAACTTTCTCTTAATATGTGATTCACTTTCAAAACATTGAACATAGCTGTGTATTGGAGTTGCCTTTTATAAACAACAATTTACAATATAATAAAATAATAGTAAATGTTTTCTAACCACACAAAAAGTTGTTGCACCACCTTATTTGTTTACAATTTTCTAGTTTTGAGTTTTTTTGGTAATTGGTGCCTACTATTTTGTTTTGTTACCTCTTAATAAGCTAACAAAAGTTGAAAGCTTTCCAATAAAGTATTGTATGTTCCAATAACAAGATGGGGTGGATATACTTGCTTTATTTGTGACCATTAATGCCAATAGGGTAGCTTGGGCAACACCCTCATTTAGTTTCCTCAGTCTTGTTTGGACATTGCGACGGAAATTTTCCTCCACCTGAGATTGAAATTATTAGTTAAATAAAAATCAATAAGAATCATTCAGTGGTTTAGACAAGTAAATTTTCACCAATGAAGTAGCTCAAGAACAATTAAATGACACAAGAAAGAAAAAGGAAAAACACAACAACAATCAGACGGATGGAGATCATATGAGGCAAGACCAATAAGAAGGCAAAGACCCAAATGATGTCCATTATCTTAGAATAACTAATGTCTGCTGAATCAAACATTCAAGTTGTCTATTACCTTACTTTCACTTCTCATCCATGACGTTGAAGATAACGAAGGTATACTAACTAATTGCTGAATCAAACATTCACATATGATTGTATTAAACACTTTTACCATGATTGGAGCTATCTATGATAAAATAATACTGATATGCATAAATGCCAGTCCCTGTTTCATGTCTTCAAAAATCCATTGATAGCATTTGGTAAACATGTTGAGTAACGTGAGTTTTTTTACCTCTGGTGTATTTTTAGAATAGACTAGAATGGGATACTAGGTTAAAAAACCATAACATTCTAAATATGAAGAGATTATTTTTAAGCATAAATAACTTACAGAATCCCCAGTTGACAGCAACTTATCTAAATTATAATTGGTTATAATCAAAATAGTAATCTCCCCCACCCCAGATAAAAGTTTGGATGCTCCCATAGATGACCTCTGAAAAAAACTAGTATAGAACTAAGAGAGAAGGAGTAAAGAGAGTTTATATAAACTCAAAGTGATATTGCGTGACTCCTTTAAAGTACATGAGGTGGTATTTGTACAGAAGTAGTAGCTTGTTCTGCAAGTTTTGCGGACTATACTATAAATCTAACTATCGGACAACTCAGCATAACTCACTTCAGTTAGTCAGTTACAAATGGTGACCAGGCATCTACAACTGTGAGAGTAAACAAGTTCTTACAACAGTAAGAGTAGCATAGCCTACACTCTATCAACCTCAAATATATAAAGTACTAAAGTCACCAAACAGATTCTCCACATCTAATAGTCATCTCTCAAGACACAAAAATAGCAATGATAATGAATTGATGATTTTAGTACCCATTCTCTCTATAGGAAAAGGCATTGGAATTCATAATTAATACAAGCTTACATTTAGCTCTGGATATCTGGTGTAGTATTTTCGACTTCCGTCTGAGTGAAGCAGTACCAACAACACTTCCAGAAGGTAGATCAGCCAGTGATGCTGCACTCAAGGATATTAACGCATCTCTGACATCTTCACGGGGAAGGATGGTAGAACTGTTTTATCAGGTAAGTAAGTAGGAACATCTTTCCTTGAGTGAACAGCCGTGTCAATGTCACTGTTTATGAGTGCCTCATCTATTTCTTTCGTGAACAGGCCCTTCCCACCGATGTCTGCGAGCGGTTGTGAACTTGTGATAGTATTTTGTCACCAGTTGTTTTTATTATTACAATCTGAATTGCCCCTTCTTCTGCTAGCTCTGGATGTGATGCAATGAACTTGTCTCTGATCTCATATGCTTGAGCCAGAGCTAGTGGACTACTCTAAATATAACAAAATTGTAAATAAACAATGGAATCCAAGACCATTTGTCGAACCAGTCATGGAAGCTAGCAGGACCATTCCACTAGTAATAATAAGGTAAAAAAATAAATATAAAAAGTTAATTACAGAAGAAAACAAAAGATGAGATTGTTTTTCTTTCAAATAGCTTAAATTTACTCCAACCTCTACAGTGTAAATGGGTATGAAGTCAACTTAAATCCACCAAGATGATTGCAATTTACAAGCATTTCACCCCCTGCTTTAATAACTCTTTCTGATATTTCTGCTTTGGTTACATCAAACAAAAACAATCAAGCAGCATGGTGTAACCAAGGATCGTTTGACAATCTTGATGGAACATTTCTGTTGCAAAAAGTAAAACCCCTTCTTATTTGACAATCAAATTTCAAGTACAAGCATAGTAATAATCTTCATTTCTGTCATAATACTACTGGCATTTAAACTAGTTGCCGTTTCAGCAGATTCTGGATTCAATTTTACACACTAGTTAATTTATCATCTAGAGAAACCCGTTTAAAATAATTGAAAGTATTATTATGAAAGAAGAGCAGAGTACCTTCCTCTGGTACCAATTCTGAGCAACCTTAGTCTGCGAAGTTTGTTGCTCAACGGCAAGGGAAGCTCTGATGTCATATTTGGAGAAAAGTGAAGTTCTGATTTTGAAAGATGGGAACACCACAGCAGAGCAGAGGCTTCCATTAACAACTTCAATTGCGGATGCACTCATAGATAGCTACAGGCACCAACAAATATGAATATGAACAAACACGATAAGATTTGATCTCTGTTATAACATATGCGGATTGGTCTTTTAGCTGTTTCTAACCTTACTGCCAATTCCTATAAATAGAAATTGCATGTTGTAATACAGGGTAGGAAATATACAATGTAACAAATTCTCTTAATACATCTTGGATCCATTGTCGGACTTCGTGTTTCTGTATTCTTCGTGTGATGTCAGCACCTAGAATTCTCTTTTTTTCTCTTAATCATTCTTATTCTTTCCCTGCACTAGTACTCTTGTTGTGCGTTGCGAATCCTGTGCACCTTATCCTCACAAGTGGTATCAGTCTTGGCAATTCTTAATGGTTGAGTCAACACAATAAACTGTTGTCTATAAAGAAATAGAAGAAAGATTGGCTACACGCTTGGATGGTCGCCTAGCGGATTTGGCAGGAACTCTTCAAAGAACGTTGGCTGAATCTTTGAACTCAGACCTACAATATGTGGAAATATGATCAAATGATCAAACTTTCCACATTTTTAGCATTTTACTTGGCAACATCTCCATACTTCCCACAATTATAACAATTATAGCATTTAATATTGTTTATGTTTGTCTGGCCACCCGAGCCTAACCTTGGTCATGACAGTTCTATAGACCGACTTGCTCATTTCCTCGTCTTCCTCTACCACGTTGACCTTTGCCTCTGTCTCTTCGTCGGCCTTTGGTACTATGAGCACATAGCACTTTCTCCCCTTTTATTGTCGCCTTCACCTGGAGAGTCAGTTCAAGGGACTCTCCCTTCTTGTTTTTCCTTCTTTACTTGTGTGCTTCCAGGGACCCAATAAGCTCTTCAAGGGTGAGCGTTGATAAGTCATTGGACTCTTCTATTACGCATACGATATTCTTGAAATCATCCGTCAATGACCTCAAAATCTTTTCAACAACTCGGTTTGATGAAAGACTCTCATCCTTCCGATTTAGCTTGTTCACCACGGTCTCCACCCGAGTAATGAACTCAGATACGCTTTCAGACTATTTCATCTTCATGTTTTCCGGGTCGTCCCTAGAGGTTTAAAGTCGAACTTGCTTCACCCGTTCATCTCCTTTGTTTGCTTTTTTGAGTGTATCCCATGCTACTTTGGAAGATTTTGCGATGGTTATCTTCTTAATGTCGGATTCGTTGATGACTCGGTATAGTAGCTACATAGCCGCCTTGTCTTTAGCCGCCTTGTCTTTAGCTCGAATGACCTTCAACGCGCTCGGATGGGCATTTGAATACCTATATGTGTTTGTCGATTTCTCATACCCAGTGTCGACCACATCCCAGTTATCTTGGGAGCCAAGAAAGACCTTCATTTGTACCTTCTTGTTGTCATAGTTGACACATTTCGTCAACTTGGGTAGCGGAATGTCATTTAGTTAGACCTATAATTTCTCTGGAGTGTTTGCACTCAACTCACACACCTCACAAAGTTCTCAGTCGCTCCTCTCTCTTTCTCAGTCAGCGCACACCGCGACGTCCTCTCTTGAGGCTTGATAGGTTCTCGCTCATCTCACACGCACAAGTTTTGATGCAAATTTGTTGGCAACAATTAGGCAGAAAGTAAAAGTTGACAGTACTTTGTTTTCTTTTAATCTCTCTTTCTTTCTCTTACATCTGTTTTAAATGAGTTGTTAGAAGTATTTATAGGCAAAATATTTGTCTCTTCAAATCTCAAAAGTAAATAATGATGTCTATTAAATAGGTCTGCTGCCTTATATTTCTTGATTATGCAATTCATGCCTAAAACCATCAATACTATTCTAGAAATACCAAACAACAAAGATAAACTTCCTAATTTAAGTTTTACAACAAAATGTAACTTTTTCCTTTCCCTTTACTTAGAATTTTTTTTTCTAGTAAAAATCATCTAAGAAAAAAGTTGATTTTATCCATTTAATACAAGTGAGATATTTGTTGCAATGAATATATAGTACATGTTTGGTTTATTGTATATGAGGATTATTGTATATGATCCAATTGTAGCAAATCACCAAAAACAACAAATAGTTACTTCTTTGATCAACCTTTGAGGTATGTGAATGAGAATACAAACCCACTGTGAAGTCATATGTTGAAAGATGCATACCATGGAAGGAACTTGTTTTGGGGTAAACTAAACAGCCTCACATTATCACTATGCAACATGAACTAGTTTGAAACCATTTTCTTGGTTAAGCTAGTGTGACTACTTGGAATTTGGACACTTGAGTACAGTTCAAAGGATTGAGGAACACTCGTGGGACATGACCAAATTTGTCCCAGTTCATTATTGGTCAATTATTTAAATTAAACTTAACTATAGCAAATTAGTTAAATTTATGTAATAAGTAAAATATATTTTGGATTAGAGAGTGAAAAATAAGAGGGATGAGAGCTAAATTTATGTAATAAGTAAAATCTATGTAACAAAGTATTAATGTATAAGTGGGAAGGAAAATACAAATTCGATGAATTGATTACAATATATAATATTATTAAAATTGACCAGTCTTGTCTAATTTACAATTTAAGGTTAAAAGTAGTTTATATATGTTTTTTTTTATCATTATTTTAAAAATAAAAGTATTTGAAACTCTATAATATATCATATTTTATGTGTGATAATTAACTAATTAACAATATTATCTTAATAAACAGAGGGTAGGATATATTTAGTTTTTAGATGAAATATTAACATATAAAATCTTTTTCTATTTATATTTCTTAATATAAATTTTAAATATAAGAATAGGACCTTCCTATAATATTAAATAGTATTGTTATATTAGTGTAATGAATTATAAAATAAATAAAAGGGATTTGAAGAAAACATTTATCTAGATAAATTTATTTTGGCTATCATCCCTTTCTACAAGGTTTCTGCAACAGATAATTCAGCCTTCTCTATAAATTCAGGTCGGGTATAAAAGTTAGTGAAAATTAGAGGTGCAAATATAATTCAAATCCTCTTTTTTCAAAGATATTTCTTTTAATCAGTTTCTCAAGGACACTTAACTATAACGTATTTATATAAATAAAAAATTAATATAAAATAAGTAGAATGCATTAATGTTTATTAGTAGCTTTGTCTTATATATAAGTAACATTTTGGAGAAATTTTTTTACTATTCACAGGTAAAATATAAAAATAAAAACATATTAAAAATAAAAAAAAAGTAATTTTTTCATTCTCACATTTAATTATATGAATTGAAATAAGTTTCTATTCTTATTTTTCAAGTAAGTACATCATTTATTTTCTAAAGAAACGATCAAATTAGTAACCTAACTTTTATCAAATGTTATATCATCAATTAATTTAAAAATGTAACTTTGTTGAACCATTAAAATATAATTTAATATCAACATAATTATTTATCAAAATTATCTATTAAATTATATTCTAATATTATCTTAATTATTTATTTTAAAAAATTTACAACAATATAAATGACCCACATTTTACGATATTCTAAAAAGTATATGTTACATCAATATATATATATATATATATATATATATATATATATATATATAAAAGAGACATAAAATAATTTTAGGTAATATAATATTTTTATACGAATGCGAAAAAAATTCAGTAATTTAAAAAAAAATTCAATTGAAAGAAATAAAGTAATATAACATTAAATAAAAGTTATATAGATATAATTTGATTATTTATTAATTTATATATAAATAAAAGGGAGATTTATATAAAAAGAGAAACCTTATCCGGAAAGTAGGGATGACAATTAAACTCGTACCTATGGCGACTAATATGTCCTCACTCCGAGTTTGACTGGGAAAACCTCGAGTTGACCGGGGCGAGGCGGGTTCGGGTTTTCCCGCTTTAAAAAGTCGGGGCAGGGATGGGTAATGCAATCCTCACCCGACCCGACCTCCTACCCGTCCCGACTTTATATTTAAATTTAAAATTTAAAATATTAATATTTTAAATATATTTTCTTTTCTTTTTCTATTACATATAAGGTTATTTTTTTAATATTTCACCAATTTTTATTTTTCTTCTACCCACTTTTAATTTTTTTGTCTTTTTTAATCTTTTATATCAATTAATTTATTATATTATTCTCTCTTACCTTTCTATTTTTTACATTTCCTTAATTTCTCTCATCAATTTTTTTATTTTTTTAATCTTTTCAATCAATTTGATGAACACAAAATGAATTTTTTTTCTTCTCTATTTTTTTCTAAATATTTTACATAAATCCTAGTAGTAACTAATATTATTTTATTTATAATTTATATTTATTAGGTTTTATTATGTCATATTTTTTATCTTATTATTCTTATTTATCATATATCTAATTTTATCTTAATAAAATAATTGTATTTTAAAGAATTAAAAGAAATTGATAATTTAAATTTTTATTATTTCGAACTAATTAAATAAAAATTAACTTATTAAATATTTTCTTATAAACTATATATTTCATATTTTTAAATAACAACTTAAAAATGAATTAACTTATATATAATTAATTGTTTGAATATAATATTATAATAATAATAATGTTATAATTATTCTATATATATATATATAAATAAATAATAATTAAATATATTTTTACATACATATTTTAATATAAATATAATAAATTAAAAAGTATATTTAATTAATAATAATTATAAATTATAAAATATAAATATTTATTTATATATAAAAAATATATAATAAAATTAATTTATTATAAATATAATTATTATCTTTTAAATACTATATATCGGGTAGAGGACGATAACGGAGAACTCTGATACACACTTAGAACGAAGCTGAAGTATTTAATTTTTAACTTCCGACTGTAATCGGGATCAGGTATAGAGGCAAAATCAGCCCCTGCCGTGCCACGTTGGCATACCTCCTGGAAAGAGTTTACGCAGGAAGGAAGAAAGAAAGAAAGGAGCGCTTTTCTTTTTTTCTTTTTCTTTTTTCATTGAACTTAGACATCAGAATAAGAGTAAATACACATTAATTGGTTTTCTGAGAGGAGATAAACATTTGGCTAGAATGAATTAAATGTCGGCGTTAAGTCAAACGAGAAAATGCAACGCCAATGGCATAGCGAAAAACTGTGAGCTGCTTTGGAAAGGGGAATTATATTCATGTTTTTGTTGAAAGTTGAACCCCCACAGTGTCAAATCCAACTACCCTCGTCAAGTTAAGCACAAGTAACAGGCATTACACTGATTTTTTGTTTTTTCTTTGAGTATCAACATAAATGTGGCGCATTGAATTTGCATGATACGTTGCAGACTAAGATGGGTCCAAACAAAGGATTGATTCGTTTTCCCTTTGTACCTTCCAATGTGACTGATGCCTCTAGCTATCTATTTGTTGCAAAGTCAAAGTAGACTAAGATGGGTTGCAAGAAAATTTGGCTTTTGCAACCAAGCACACATTCACTCCCCAAATAATCTGATTCTCATGCAGGGTTAGAAGTGAGAGGACAACCACACAGAAAGTTTCACATCAATGGTTCAGCAAATATCTGTACTTCACTTAATGTTGCAGATTTAGTTTCCTTCAAAGGAAGGTGGTCCAAATGATGGCCATCCAGAATTGTGACACTGCTCACTGCAAGTCATGTGCCACCCTCCTCTGCACCATACCTATCATTCAAAACCTCCTTTATAAAGAATGTGCAAGCCTAAGCCTAAGCCTAGCTTAGCCCACCCAAATCAAATGGTCATCATATTACACTTTGTTTGTTTGTTTCTTTCGTAGAAACTAATAAATGAAAGAGCGTGAAAAGTGGGTGAGTCATCAGTGAAGACAAGGGGTTAAAGGAGAAGGGTCGTTGCTTTATATTTTGTAATAACTATATATATAGGTGCAAAAACCATGGGTTGCATGCAGATTTTACTCAGGTGCAGGGGCCACAGAGAAACAAAGAAGACTCATTTAAGTGTCTCTGTGTGCGTGTGTGAAATGTGAACTGAAGATAACGCGAAGTCCTTGGAATCCAAAGTACAACAGTGCAGGTAATTCAGTTTATCTTTTTCTGCTTCTTGGTTGGGATTCATTTCACCGTTTCATTCATTTTCATGCTTTCAATCTGCTAACTGACTTCATCTTAGAGAGGAAAATGGTTGTCCAAAATCTCAAAAAGACTACCCATTTTTTTTAAGAGAGGAAACGACATGAATTAGAGTAGACCCTTTTGTGCATGCAAGCAATGGAACAATAAAAAGTAAGAGAGAATTCTCACTGGTGCAGACTCATGCTTTTATCTTTGTTCTTTTTCTGTGATTTTCTGTGACTTGTTCTTCCTTGTGCTGTGATATCTTGAAAAAGCATTCTGGGTAGGTAGGTTGTTGGTCTTTCTGGTGGAACAGAAAGTTGAAAAAAGTCCAACGAAGGGTACACGCGTCTCAGTATAAAGTGGACACATAACTTCTTTTACGTTCAAACATCTCAGTTTGTGTTGCATGTTCTGCATTAGTCTTTGACTATGGATGATTTGGAGGCAGAGTTAAAGGGATTAAAGTTATATCATTAATTTACATTTATTACATATATTGTTGGTCGGTGGTAGCCACCCTAATTCGTGATAGAATAATGACAACTCATATAAAATGAAATAAATGTTCTAATATGCAGCAGCAGCAGTAGCAGCATGGAAGCAATTGAATGTGGTATATTCAATGGCACACCTACAGGTATTTTCATTTCCTTTGAATTTAGATTTATAAACACAAAAGATTACTTCATCATTGAAATGTAGCATTCCTTCAACAGAGGTTGTCTTGTGAGGAGAAATCAAAATGTTGTGTCTGCTGACAAATGTGTCGTTTTATTGGAAATTCAATCAGGAACAAGAGATTCAGAACTGGAAGCCTTGCAGAGAGAGCACGAAGAGAAGAATTTGAAAATTGAAGAGCTGAAGAGACAGATTGAAATGGCAAAGCGTAGGCTGGAAAAGAAGAAAGAGGTGAAGGAGGAGCAAATGGGAGGTTTCAATAACCTAAGCAAGAAATATAACAGCCTGAGAGAGGAATACAATGCAATGCTAGCTGAGAAATTAAGGAAATCAAAGTAACTCTCAAATTATTAGAATTAACGTGAAATTGAATAAATCATTATGATAGTTATCTCATGTACTTAAGAGACTTGTTTGTTATTTTTATTTTTTCTTACTTTAATCATTAAAATGAGTTATTACGTTAGAATTTAAAATTATAAAATAATTAATACTAAAGATAAAGACTGAGTTTTTAATAATGATTTTTATATATATAGCTGCCAAAAAGTTTACAATCTAAATTAAAATAAAAAAATTTAATCTAAATTAAATTGAATTCTTTTTCTCTCTTCTTAATTTATTTTAAATCATATTATTCTATAAATTTATGAAGTAATTTATTTTATATTTTTTTTATAATTTAATAGGGTGAGATGAATTGTTATTTTAGAACATTAAATAGTGAACAACAAGAAAGAAAAATAAAATTTTAATTCTAAAAGTGAATGGACTTCTTATTATAAGAAATTAGTATATTTAAACTTAAAATTAATTTCATTAACAAGACTTAAAGTCTTAAATTTTAAAAAGAGATATTTATTTCACTTTTCTAAGATCTATAACTCTTTTAAGATACATGCCAAGTCGAAGCTCACACAGATTGATTAAGTGACCCAGGTAGGTTGATCAGAACAACCTTTTCAATACCTTTATCTTAAATAAATAATATTATTCATTTTCATCATTTAACTAATCACATAATTTGATAGAATTACCGATAAACACATTATTAGATAAGTATTTCACCCTACTATCATTGTTATAGAAAAAAAGGAGATAAAAGTTAAACATAAGGTTTTCACAACATCCATATATAGATGAATGAATCAACTCCATGAACATCTCTGCAAGATCTTAGAACATTTTAAATGAAAGATATTCATCACCGATCTTAAACACAAGATCTACTGTTTAGAATATTTTGTACCACAGGGAAAGGTGAAATCTCCAGCATAGAGAATCGTTAATTGTAAGAATTCTAAAGATCTACATAAACAAACAAAAAATCACATTTTAAAAATTCTCCCGTTAGTTGATTGTGGAAAGAACACCAACCATTATAAACAAGAAAAAAAAACAAACATTCAATCCTCATATAGTTTAAAATTTAAAGGTTGACTATAGAATTTAATAAAATAATATTTTTATAATATAATAAATTGTTTTTTAATGTAAAATTAGAAAATAAAAACTATTATCATGATTAAAAATTATAAATATAAATTGAAGAATGAAAAATTGATAATTATTAAAATAAAATAAAAATATAATAAAATAATTATTATTTAAAATTGATGTATAAAAAAGAAAAAATTAAAATATATTATATTTTTTATAAAAAAATAAAAAAATTTAATATGGTTGAACCCAAAAATGTAATATTTTACTGATTTTATCATCATTTTTTTTTCATTTTATCCGATTTAATTAAAATCTGATTATTTAAAAATAATGTATTGATTTTTAATCTAATTCTTCATTTAACGGATTGATCTTACTTATCTAATTTAATGCCAGGAGACAAGACATCATGTTTATTTATGATCATATTAATATTTTTTATTAATATTAAAGTTAGTACATGTTTATTAATTAAAATATCAAATATTAATTGATGTTTTTAAAATATTAAATTGTGAGATTTTTTTAACACAAAAAAGTTATTTAAGATTTCAAGATAGAATAAAAATTAAATGAGATTTTGAAATATCTAATATTATTGAAAGATGTAGTGAAATATGGTTCTATAAATTTACTATTCAATTGTTTAATTTTTCAAACCTATCATTTTTTTTTTTAAGATGAATCATTTTATGGTTTTTTTTTTACTATTAAGAAAAAACTTTTCAAGTTAGAGAATATTTGAATTAAACTTGGAACATAATTATTGTGATAAACATTTCATTCAGTACTCAATATGAAGTAAACTTTTATCAAGTGTCTTTTACGTATTAATTTGATGAAAATATTTATAAAATTTTCGTCATTAGAAATTCTAATTTTCAATATTAATTCCGACATTAAAGTGTGGAAATGTAAATAACAAAATATGGAAATGTGCAACAACGAGAAATGTAAATTGTAGGAAATGTAGATGTGCAGGAAGTAAATGTACGAGAAGAGTAAATTATCAAGGATAAAAGATAAATTGATAAAGAAAATAAATGAAAGTGGTGATCCAAACGGTAAAGAACTCAATTGAATAGTCTTTTCCTTATCCATAACATTTTATAGAATGTGTCTTAGTACAATTTGTCATCACCCTTAATTACACTTATTTATACTTTATCTTGTGTAATCGCTAGGAAAATAAAATAAAATAAAAATAGTTTCCTCCCTATTAACCGTTTTCCCTCTTTCTCGAGTAGTTTCACTATCCCACGTAAAGTTTATAACTGTCCTTGTCACGTCGTGGAGTTATAATAGTTTATGCATACTTCTCGATTCTATAACTCCTTTGTCTTTCTTGATTCTCTACGTCTTCAATTTTTGTTTTTGTCTTCCTCTTGATTTCCCCCTTCAATTAATATGAATCATCAATTCTCTAACATAAATTTTCACCTCGATCACTATGAATATGGCTAACTTTCCTTCTTCGAAAGAAGAGAACTTCAGTCTCCAAGAAGAAGAAGGAGAAATTAGAATAGATTTTATTAATCAATCGTCGAAGGTGTATCGTATTGGCCTGCTCAGAAGAAACCAACATATCTCAAATTACTCGATGGGATAAAGGTCAAATTTGGCACTCATTGGGAGAGCATCAAAATTTTTTACCTCATACACCTATCTCGTTATGATGTCAGACATTTTAACATGTCGATGTTTCTCCCAACAATTCAGCTACAAGGAACTTAATTCAATAGAAGTGACATTAACCTCAACAAGGCTTTTTTGTCTTTTCAATTTCATCGAGTTATTCCAATAGATTTTCTTTCAATGAATTGAATATTAAGAAGGAACTCCTTCAACTCACTCCAAAGGAACAAATCAAATTTCATCCAGCTTCATTTGAAGTCAATTTTTTGAGTATATTCAAATTCTTTTCATGGTGGGACCAATGGTATACCTTGACCCACCCATCATTTGAGGCAATAAAACAAGGCTAAGACTAGTCATCCTACTTTTGTGATGTAGGACAAGTCCAAGACTAAGAAAAGTAAAAATAAATATTATCTTAAATTATCTAGTTCAAGCATTTTTATCAAAAATCTTATGATCCCCTCAGGTTAGAATTAACCTTTAGGAACGTAGTTTTCTCTCTTCGATCTAAAGTTTACTAGAATCGAGATTCATGACTTGTATAAAATCCATTAGGAAAAACACTCTTTAAAAAACACTTCTCCAAAGACTTACTAACTACAACATTTTGATCGTACAAAATACTAATAAAAAATAATAAATAAATTATTAAATTAATACAATATAACTAACCCATGTCAAAATTCATAAGAACATAATTATAAGAATGTATTCATTACTATACATAATTTTCTTTAAAATTATTAAATGCACTGTTTTGAGCATTTATTTCCATCAATTTGGCTTATCTCAAATTATCTTTCTCTTACAAAAGAAAAAAAGAAACATACATTGTGGATGCATGCATGTTTATTATTTTTTATGCTAAAAATATGCAAAATGTAACAAATTAAGAAAAATTGAATTATAGTATGTTTTTAATTAAACATGTAAAATGCATGATTTATGAAGACAATAATTAACTTAGAAAATGTTCTTAGATTAAGAAATAAAAAGTAGAATGTCATACATCACTTACCCACTTTCCCTTATGTTCCTTTTGACATATCCAAACTCTTAACACTCCCGAAATGGGTTTGAGACTTAAGATTGGACCATGAGACATTGTATCCCAAACCACTAAATAAAGTTGTTACTATATATCAAAGTTGTCTTATTACCCTTATCTTTACCTGCTTGAACCTGCTTGAGTCTTACCTACCACCTTATTTAACACACATCTATCGAGTATTCATCTTAACCAATATATCTTTTGGTGAGATTTTTTTTCTTTGTATATTTCAATGTTATTGATTTATTTTTTTGAAGTTATTCATATTTTTGGATTTTTCTTATTTTTAGTCTCTACTTCAATAAAGATCCTTGATCTTGATGCCAGAACAACAGAGACCGGGATTGCACCACCATCTCCCAAAGTCCAAAAGGCTCATCGATATATCCCATGTTCAGGATGATCAACTCCTTTAGCAATGTCATTTTCATTTTATGTTGTATTCTTAACTTATGTGTATATAAAATTCTTTCCATGTTTAGAAGAAGTCCAAATCAAGGGCTACACTCTCTTCCACGCTAACCGCAACTCCTCCACCTCAAGTATTGTAACTTAGAATTCTAATGGGAAAATATTTGTTTAATAAATTGTTAGATTAACTTTCGATCTCATTTTCACAGGAATCAACACCTCCCACCATTGATGTGTTCCTACTAATCACAACTATCATCAATTCTCGTCTTTGATAATGATGACGTATACTTAATCATTTCCGATCAATATATATATATATATATATATATATATATATATATTCTCTTTTCTTATTTTGATTTGTATGATTCATATTAAATAATGCTGAAAAGGTTTATTTTATCCTCAAAATAAGGCTTTGATCAACATTTCATGCAACCTAGATTCCTTACTTTAAGTATTCGCTACACCTTGCGTACCTTCTTCTTCCACTGTTGAGGTACTTACTTTCGTTGCTCATATGCTTTTAAACCTTTTGATTCTGCTGTAATTTTTTAATTTTATTGATTATTTACATCTTCTACGAGAAACTTCCATTGTACATATCACACATTTATTGACTCACCAACTGAAACCCTTGTCCAAGGTAATTCATAAACTTTATACATTTCATATTACCTTTTAGTTAAATTTCTCTCATGTTCTTGATACTTGTGTTTTATAATGTATAAACAATTCATAAAATATGCACATTCTGATATGAATTTGTGCTCTGCAGAATCTCTTGAACAAC